ACTACTACTCCTCCTCGTCCTCCTCCTCAAATTCCAACGTGGTAACGAATCAGCAGACTACTACTGGCAGTGCCTATACGATACTAATACGAAAATGAATACAAGCTTCAACGCTACTACCAGGATTCATGGGTTTTTATTGATGTTAATTGCGCGGCCAATCTGGGGGCTGGCCGGCCGGCTTTTAAGAGAATAGTCAATTTTTGAGGGGGGTCATACCAAAGGGGGTCCAACATTAGCAACCAGTCGAAGCAAACACATCCTACATGTTTGAGCACGCGAGCTCCCTTGACAAATCTAATGAATCAAAGCTGCGATAAGCACTACGCAGGACTTCTGCGGTTGGAAGCGAAGATGTTGGCAGCTGCAACACCTCATTATCAAGAATCAGCCGCTATGTCAGGCGGAGGCATCGCTAATGGATGCTAATGGTGAAGTGAGCTAGCTTCCTTGCCCCTTCTGCCAGGCCTGCAAGTGCTGCTGAACGGCAGCGTTGAGGCAAAGAGGTGTAGCTGCCTGCATATCTAAATAGATCCGGCAAAACTTTCAGACGACACACGCCATTTAGGACACAAAGGCCGTTTGCTGAGCCGAAGTCCACTTGCCTGGCTGTTAGCACCAGGGAATCTGCTGGACGATGCGCCTGCCTTGCTTTGCGCTGGAAGTCCTACGGCTACAGGCTGGGGAGGAAGCACGTTATGCGGAGTTTTACCTGCGAGGGGTTAGGCCTGGCCGATACACCTTGTTGACTGCATCCAGCTCAAAAATCATGTGAGTAACATCTGTACGGGACCAAAGAAGATTCAGATGACTTGCAGGCAAGATGCTCTCCCTTGCCATCCCTGCCCTAGGCTGAGGCTGCCATGACAGAAAAGAATCATCAGGGCAGATCTTTCGCCAGCAACATTCCTGACATGCCACAAAAAATCCAGCAGCACCTAGAAGCTCCGTCAGCCCAGTGACGCCGCCATGACTCTTCAGGATCACTGGAAGTGGTGTAGCCTGATAAGCAGTGCTTCCCCATGAGCCCAGATGATGCACCAGAAAACTGGAAGATTACGCCAGCGAAGTTTGCAATGCTGCACACAGCAAAGTCAATCCTTGCAAATACTGGCTTAGATAGTGATGCAAGCTGCTCGAGTAATTGAAAGCCCTATCATGCTCACAAAGGGGAATATCTTTTTTTTGACCGTGGACAGCTTTTTCCTGACCGTGGATCTTTTTTTTACCGTGGACAGATTTTTTCTGACCGTGCATGTCTTTTTCTTGACTGCGGGTGTCTTTGTTTTGAATGCACGTGTGTCTTTTCTGCTGGCCCAAGGAAGGAAGCCCTGGGCTGTCCGGG